GTAATTTGCATTGCATATTCTCAGAACGGATGTACATTGTTCTGATTCCTCTGGCTTTAGAGAGGGTGAGAAGGAACATGCCTCTAATAAGTAGTTATGATCTCTAGCGGTTATGTAAAAGTAGTATCTCGGCGTTGCGCATTCTTGGAGATTGGAAATGACTTTTCGAAAGAAAAACGGGGCTGTATAGTACCTTGCAAATGGCCTATCCAGGCTCAACTGGGATGCCCATCGAGAGCAGGAAGTCCGCATCTGCTCAGCGGACAATAGCACTCACAAAGTGTGAGATTCAAGGGTTGGGGAATCGAATGAATGAGAGCTGTCTCTACTAGTAATGAAGATGGGTTCTCTGAATGCCGCGGATTGTTTGCAGTGGTGAAGCTTCCCGATACGGTTAGATCTGGCAGATGGAGTTTGTCGTTCAACTTCACCTATAAACTCTGCAGCATACATCGTGTAGACGATAGACGTGGAAGAGCACTGAGAGGGCATAATTTATCCATTCCTTCCATTTTCTTAACAATAATATAAGTACTTCAATCTCCACGAAAAACTTGAAGGTTTGTGCTCCCATTGACGCCTGGTCATGTGACCTCCAACAAAATCCGTTCTGAAGCTCCTCAAAGATCAATGCATACTAGCAGTATATTTAAATCATTCTACAGAGAGCCCTTCCGATTGCAAATCCCAATTCCAATCTCTGCTTTCTCACATAACCCATATCAAACCGCTCCAGCTGGACATTCCCTTATCTCACGACCCGATATCCTCACACCCAGTCAAGATGTCGTTCCTATTTGGAGGCCAACCGAAATTATCTTCGGAGGAGAAAATCAGCAGGGCAGAGCTAGAGGTAGAGATGGTCACAGATATGATGACCCGGTAAGTTACATATTCTTAGCAAAATGCACCCTATAAAAACAACAAAACAACCTGCCGGCCTGCCCCGGCGAGCGGAAGCTCCTTTTTTTGGTCTCTGTCCCTGTCCATTGCAACCTCCACTTACATAAAAAGAAATCCCACCAAAATGGAAAAAAAAATAGAAGGCAATCTGCTAACACATGTATTTCCCCCCCCCCCCCCGTTCCATTACACCAGCCTCTCAAGCGCCTGTATGAAAAAGTGCATTCCACCCGACTACCGCGAAGGAGACCTGAACAAGGGCGAATCCGTCTGCCTCGACCGCTGCGTCGCCAAGTTCTTGGAAGTCAACATGAAGGTCTCAGAGAAAATGCAGCAGATGCAAGGACAGGCTATGGCTGGCCAGCAGGGTGGCAGTGGATTCCGGGTGTAAGAAAGGACTCAAATAGTCTGGTATGGGAGAGCGCGCGGTCGGGGTACAGAGGGGATGGGGTCCAGGTCCCGGTCCCGTTCCACGTTACCGGGACGGGATAGGAATGACATACATGCAGGGATGATGACAGCGGATTCATTCGGATGGGGACCTCCTGTCCCCTCATATTCTCTTCGTTTACCATCCTTATTTGACTCCCACTCTTTGACGCATCAGTTTATAAAATTGCGGGTTTTCATGTCATGGAGGAGACAAGGTTTTCCTTGGTTTAAGGAGCTGGTTAGATAGGAGGAAACGGAATCAATTACGAGTTAAGCGTGGGGAAGGATGCAATTGTCCTCTATGGGCTCATCTTTTCGTTTTTCTTATGTTCTACGTTCCAGCGTCAATGCGGCAGGCCGTTAAGCCGGCTACGGAGATGGAAAGAGTTTTGCTTCACTTGTTTTACGTTGCACTGTGTCTCATCTGATCATTCATGTTTGTGAACCTATAGGGCTGGCGGATTTTCTCTTTGTATTTTAATTGGGACATACATTAATATATTGTGACCTCTTTTTTCTTCAATAGAATACTATAAAACTTATTTTTCACAACCCTATGTTTGTAGGCGGGCAGACAGATGTGGTACGGTACTTTTCTGTTTGATGAGACATGTTCTTTGATTTCCTATGCTTGTTTCTAGCTAAAAGAAGAAAAAAACGCCTTGCTATGTAGGAATTAAATATATGTAGAGTACATGTGTATGGGCATGATACAATCAAACATGGAATAACCCGCTCCAGCGATATGCATATGGAGTACTTTATCAAAAGAAGTGAAGAGGGAAAAGGGGGAAATTAGAATATGTACGTACCTCCCAAAGCCAAGGGACAAGAAACATCGAATAGAAAAAATTCCAACCGACTTGAATCGATTATTATCAAGCGACCCATTCAGCGTCCAAGGAGCCCACTACCCCAACTAAACCATGACTCCTTCGCCTTCTGCGTTTCATCCTTGACTAGGTCCCGAACCCTATTTTCGATCCCAACGATATGCCGCTCGTAATCATTCAGTCCCACCTCCACCTCTTCAATCCTTAACTGCAACGCATTAAGCTCGTAGTCAAGCTTCGCACCCAGCAGCTCGACTTTCTTAGAGCTCTCCATGAGAGCCGAGCCTTCAACCGCAACCAGATCAGTGGTATGTACTTGCAACGCGCGAAAGTCCTCGATCTTCTCATGGTAGACAGTGTTAAGCTCGTCAAGCCGTGCCTGGGCACGTATATCTATGAACTCAACCGCGGAAACCTGTTTCTCAACCCAGGGCGCTATCGCCGAGCGTAAAGCCTGAATCTTACAGCCATAGTATTGCACGTCTGATGCGAAGATGTCCTCCCACAACATCGCATCTGCGGGGGCCATTTTTTTTGTGTCTGGTCTTGCTGCCCAATCTGTGATATTTTCCCAGCAAAGGATCGTATCTTCTACAGCGCTGAAAGACAGGTGGCGAGGCCAACGGCAATTACGTTGATCCTCCAAGGATTCGGTAGGAAGTATACAATGGCTTCGTGGCCGTCGAAGGGGTATGTTGGAGGGTAGGGTGGCTCCTTTTGCCTCTGGTAATGCATCAACGTTTTCGAGCGCAGTTTTTTCTTCTCCTGCGGATACCTCAGCTTCCTCGCTGGGTTCTGATTCACTAGTAGTTGAGTGCTCGTCATTAGATAAAGGTCCCCCATCTGCTTTAGGGAAGATAGAATTCTGAGCGGGGTGGTTTTTCATTC